AAAAAAAAGAAGAGAAAGGAAAACAGAACTGGAGACAGCGGCTGATGTTGTCCAGTAGCCTTCTATGACCTATTCCTACGGCATATTATTCCTTCAAGTGCTGGTTGAAATGCACCTCGTATTCTTTGGAGTGTTGGTATGATTTTATGGTCTCTTGGCACATTATTATGACTTAGTGGTGAACCCGACGTGGACCGATTGAACCCTCATTTGTGTTTATTATTTTGTGGCTGATTGCACACCTGGAGTTAAGTGCCTGATTATTGTGACATTACTCTTGGGTTCAATCGTATCTTGTGTTCAACCTATTTGGCTGATTGTGTTATTGGAGTTAAGGGGAGTCAATATTGATGGCTTCTGACCACCCGCCTGGGTGGCGCTGCTGGAAAGGGCACTCTTCCTCTCGCAAAAGGTTGGGTGTTCGAATCCCGGGCGTCGCAGGGTGACTTAATCGGTGCACGTGTGTGGTGGCTAGCACGTGTCGTCCCCAGGGTTTACCTTCCGGCTGTCGGCCGTGCGGGGGTTCCCTGGGTTACCAAAATATATATATATATATATATATATATATATATATATATATATATTGATGGCTTCTGGATCATCTACTGGTCCACCACATTTTCAATTGACATATGTCAAGTTGGATAGCACTAATTATCCATCTTAGTCCAAAGCTGTAGAAGTTTATCTTACTGTCACTAGACATAATGACTTTCTTACGTCTACGATCCCCTCAGATAAGAGCAAGATAGATGACTGGATTGCAGGAGATGCGCTGATTCGTGCACTGTTATGGAATAGTATGGACCCTAAAATTAGTCCTCACTTCATTCAGTGCAATTCTGCTAAAGAAGTTTGGGAGAAGTGTGCTTTACTATACTCAGGCCAGAATAATATGACACAAGTGTGTGACACATGGGAGGCCCTGTTTGATCTTCAGCGTGGAGATCAATCTCTATCTGAATATTATGCTCGTTTTACTACACTTTGCCGACAACTAGATACTTATCTCCCAGATTCAAATGATTTGAACGTTTTAGTCAAACGTCAGGAGGATCTTCGAGTGATATTATTTCTTAAAGCACTAGGGCCTGAATATTCCTCCCTTCGTCAGCAGATTACGTCTGAAAGCTCCCTTCCTACAGTTGATGAGGTTTTCTCCCGAGCCCTTCGCTCGACACCTACCGACAAGATCTCAACTACTACGTTAGAGGCAAGTGCCATGGTTACTCATGGCTCTAGTGGGACGTGGAGCTCGTGGTCGTGGTTATCAACCATGTTACTCATGGCTCTAGTGGACGTGGAGCTCGTGGTCGTGGTTATCGTGGTCGTGGATGTGGTTTTGTTCAGAGTGGTAGTCGTGGTGGACGTGATAGAGGTATTGGTGGCCGTGGCTCCCGCTATTGTAATCATTGTCAGAGGGTTGGACATACCAAAGCTTACTGTTACATGCTTCATCCTGAGCTTCGACCTATGCTTGTTGCATTTGCCGAGGTGGAAGGTTCTTCCTCATCAGCTCAACTGAATCCTACTAATGTGCAGAATACAAAAGATTCTATTACATTGACACGTGCTGAGTATGATGCTTGGATTTGCTCCCAACAGATGATAGGAACTTCAGCTCCCACTGCAACTCTAGCACATACCTCAACAGGTAGTTCATCCTGCTTACTTTCTACTGTGTCAGACTCCTGGGTTATAGATTCTGGAGTTACTCATCATATAGCCAGTAACTCTAAGTTAGTGTCTTCATTACATTCCACACCTCCTGGGGTGTCCAACTTTGTTACATTAGCTAATGGTTCAATTTCCCAAGTTACTGGTACTAGTGATGCTCATTTGAGTTCCTCCCTTTCTTTATCATCCATCCTTCATCTCAAATCTCCATACAATTTGATTTTTGTTAGTTCATTAACTAAAGAACTAAACTATTCGGTAACCTTTTCTTCTTCTCGTTGTGCCTTTCAGGATTTGAAGACTGGACAGATGATTGGTGGGGGACATGAATCAAATGGCCTGTACTATCTTGACAAGAAGGTCATAGCTACAACAGCTGTGCAGCGCCCATCCCCTGATGTGTATCGGATGCATTATCGTGCTGGTCATCTACCACCGAACATTCTTCAACGTTTGTTTCCCGAGTCTGAGTCTGTGAGTACTTTTGAGTGTGAAGCTTGTCAGTTTGGTAAACACCATAGAGCTTCTTTTCCTTCTCATTTTTAGAGTCGTGTGTCTAGTCCCTTTGAATTGGTTCACTCAGACGTATGGGGTCCGTGTCGTGTTCCTGATATATCTGGTTTTAGATATTTTGTTACATTCGTGGATGATTTTTCCCGAATGACTTGGTTATTCTTAATAAAAGACCGTACTGAGATTTTTCATTATTTTCGTCTATTCTATTTTGAGGTATTGAATCAATATAATACTCATGTCAAAACTCTACGGTCAGATAATGCCAAAGAGTATCTTGCTGCTACTTCTAGTTTTCAACCTTTTCTTGCTTCTCATGGCATTATTCATCAAACTTTCTATTCATATACACCACAGCAAAATGGTGTAGCTGAATGCAAAAATCATCATCTTCTTGATGTTGCTCGTTGTCTTATGTTTCACATGCATCTACCGAAAACCTTTTGGGGCCATGCTGTTCTTATGGCCAGCTTCTTAATTAATCGGCTTCCAGCTACTGTTCTTTAGGGGGAGACACCTTTTTTTTCCATTTTACATCCAAATCGTCCCCCTTTTCCATTACCTCTATGTGTCTTTGGTTGTGTTTGTTTTGTTCATTCTCTCACTCCAGGCCTTGATAAGTTGGATCCTCGTGCTGAAAAATGGGTAAAAGGACACTATAAGTGCCATAACTTATGTACGGAGATCACTTTGGTGCCATAACTTTTTTTCGGATCACTTTGGTGCCAAGTCGGAGGAAAAACGATCACTTAAGTGTCATAAGTTTTTTTTGGATCACTTAAGTGCTAAAATTTTTGAAAAACGATCACTTAAGTGCTAAAAATTTTTAAAAACGATCATTTAAGTGCTAAAATTTTTGAAAAACGATCACTTAAGTGCCAATCTCCAGCGAGCCACATCAGCTTCAGAAATTAATAAAAAAAATGCCACGTCGGATTTCCGGCAAAAAATTGTGTACGGCACCGGAGTTGGCACTTAAGTGATCGTTTTTCAAAAATTTTAGCACTTAAGTGATCGTTTTTCAAAAATTTTAGCACTAAAGTGATCCAAAAAAAACTTATGTCACCAAAGTGAGCGCCGTACACAAATTATGGCACTTGTAGTGTTCTTTTGCCCCGAAAAATGTGTCTTTATTGGATACTCTCGAACTCAGAAGGGCTACAAATGTTACAGTCCTACTCGTCGTCGTGTGTTTGTGTCAGCAGATGTGACATTTTTTTAGGACCAGTCATACTATAATACTTAGACGACCCCTACTGTGCCTCTTGATGTTGACGAGTGTGTCTTACCTCTACTTCCACCAATTTCACTTCCTCTAACATCATCCACAGGATTTCAGTTTGCTGACCGCACCTACCATAGACGTGGAGCAACTCCCACTACAATAGTACGGTCATCACTTGATTCATTTGTTCCTTCATCGGTTGATGTGCTGTCTTCTGATCCTGATCCTGATCCACCTATTACTACTCGAAAAGGTACACGTTCTTGTGTTAGTCGTCCTGTGGATCATTATACACTTTACTCTAGTTTGTCTAATTGTCTTCGTACTCGTCACCTTATTCCCAACTTTTTGTCTTATGATCGTTTATCTCCTACCTTCTCTACCTTTGTCTCGTCCTTGTCCTCTGTTTCTGTGCCTAGCAATGTTGCTGAAGCTCTTGCTCATCCTGGCTGGCGACAAGCCATGGATGATGAAATGAAAGCACTCATTGACAACCGCACTTGGCAACTCACTACCTTGCCTGCGGGAAAGCAACCTGTTGGTTGCCGTTGGGTTTTCACTGTTAAGGTTCCCCCCGATGGCACCCTTGATCGATTGAAGGCACGATTGGTTGCCAAGGGGTATACTCAAACCTATGGTGCTGATTATGATGACACTCTCACTAGTAGCCAAAATTGCATATGTTCATGTCTTTATTTCCCTAGCAGCACGTTTTGGATGGTTTCTTCATCAATTGGATATCAAAAATGCCTTCTTACATGGTGATTTGTCTGAAGAGGCATACATGAAGCAACCACCGAGATTTGTTGCTCAGGGGGAGAATCCGGTATGTCGTTTACAGAAGGCTTTATATGGACTCAAGCAATCTCCTCGTGCTTGGTTTGGTAGGTTCAGTGACATTGTTATCAAGTTTGGATTAAAGTAGTGTCAAGTAGTTCATTCAGTCTTTAGTTCTGTCTCCTCAGCTGGTTGTATTCTTCTAGTAGTATATGTGGATGATATTATCATTACTGGTAGTGATTCAGATGGTATTCAATGACTCAAACAGTTTTTGCATACACAATTCAGTACTAAGGATATGGGACGTCTGCGATATTTCCTAGGTATCGAGGTAGCCTACTCGCATATATGTATCAATTTAACCCAGCGAAAATATGTACTTGACATTCTTGATGAGGTTGGGCTTATTGGAAGAAAACCAGTTGATACTCCTATGAAACCCAATGTGAAACTTGATGCAGAACATAGAGAATTATTATATGATCCAGTGAAATATTGGAGATTAGTTGGTAAGCTGAATTATCTTACCGTCACGAGACCTGGTATATCTTTTGCTGTCAGTGTTGTAAGTCAATTCATGAGTTCTCCTCAGACTACTCACTAGGATGCTGTGCTTCGGATTATCAAATACCCATATACATATATATATATATATATATATATATATATATATATTCTTGTAACCCTTTCTTTGATTAAGAAATAAAAAAAATACGATCAACAATTAACATTATGAAAAGACCACTCACATAGATGAGATTCAGGAATATTATGTGGGACTCTGGAACTCCTTTCCGGATGAGTAGCTTGATTAGCAGAATTACCTTCCAAAATAGCCATCAGAGAAGTACATCCATCAATGCCATGCATAAAATGAATGCGAAGAAAAGCATACTAGCATTGTCTAGTTGCATCAGCTGTGCTGTTATCAATTTCATCAGCTTTGTGGGATGTCAATAAGATTTGAAACCCTTCATGGGAATGCCAACTCCAGAAGAAGACAAACTAACTGACATTCTTCGAATCTTTTCACCTATTCTTGATACACAGTTCTTGGCCCATAAAGTTGGCAAGGAATTAAGAATCTATAACGCAGACCTCCTTGGGCATCAAAATGTTGGGCGAAGAACAGTAGAAGTGTCAAAACTTATGTACGGTGCTCACTTTAGTGCCAAAAGTTTATTTTGGATCATTTTAGTGCCAAAATTTTTTTAAAACGATCACTTAAATCCCAACTCCGGTCAGTAGCCGAAAATCCGACGTGGCATTTTTTTTTATTAATTTCTGAAACTGATGTGGCTCGTTGGAGAATTTAGTTAGCATGTATACATCAAAACGACGTAGTTTAGCATATACACTTGGATTTTTCAAATATTTTTTCTGATTTTTTTTCCTTCTTTTCTTTTTTTCTTCTCTTTCTTCTTCTTCTACCTCCAGTCACCGGCTGTGGCCAGCCGCCTGGCCTCGCCCGGACGAGGCCACCATCACCCACCACAGGTGAGGCCCGGCCGACCCTCACCTGGGTGAAGGCGAGCCCTGGCGAGGGCTACCCTCGCCAGATTCGGCGAGGGCTCCCCTCGCCAGATCCGGCGAGGCCGCCCGTCGCCCAGGCCACGACGGCCTCGCCGGGCGTCGCCCGGGGGAAGGTGACGTCCGCCGAGGCCATCGTGGCTGGTGACGCGGCCGGGCTGCGACGGGCGGCCTCGGGCACCGCGGATCTCGGCGAGCGGCCGGCGTCGCGCGAGGTGGCCATGGCGGCCTCGCAGGCGTTGCCTTCCCCCAAGCGACGGCCGGCCTCGCCGGATCCGGCGAGGGTCGGCCTTGCCTCGCCCGAGCAAGGGCGAGCCCCGCGCGGCGAGGTTGACCATCGCCAGATCCGGCGAGGCCGGTCGTCGCCGGGGAAGGCGACGCCCTGCGAGGCCGCCATGGCCACGGCGACGGCCGGCCTCGCCAGATCTGGCGAGGGCGAGCCCCGGCAAGGGCTCCCCTCGCCAGATCCGACGAGGCCGCCGTGGCCTCGCTGGGGCTCGACCTCGCCTAGGTGAGGCGAGGTCGACCCTCGCCGGGGCTCACCCGCCCTTGCCTAGGAGAGGGTCGGCCGGGCCTCGCCTGCAGCGGGCGACGGTGGCCTCGTCCAGGCGGCTGGGCATGACTGGTGGCCGGCCTCCGGTCACCGGCGGTGACCAGAGGTAAAAGAAGAAGAAAAAAAGAAAAGAATGAAAAAAAATCAGAAAACCTATTAAAAAAATCTAAATATACACGTGGAAATGCCACGTAGACTTATTTTTTTAAAAAAAAAAATCCAACTAAGATTAATATTTTAATTATAAAAGTCACGTATTAATTTGGCTGGAATTTCTAGCCGTTGGCACTTAAGTGAGCCGGCGAAAACTTTTGGCACTAAAGTGAGCGCCGTACACAAGTTTTGGCACTTTTAGTGTTTTTCTCCCCAAAATGTTCAAGAATCTTTCGAGGATAACATGATCTGTAGTTACCTGTAGCTAGAACCGGATCTTGCAGTAAAACATGACGTTCAGATATATCCTTGGGAAGCTTCTCAAATAGAAGCTGCTCAAAATACATCCAATGCACAGATCACACTCATAGAAGTGAAATGTCCCCATTAACAAGAAAACAGCAGGCAACTAAGAGGAAAATACGTCAAATGGAGAGGCACATGCACCTGTTTCCCATTGTCTCCATCTCGGTGGATCAGAATTTTTCCAATTTTTATACCTTTGCAGCAAGCACATAATGCATTTTCCACGGTCTCTCCACTACACAGACAGAGAATATCCCAAGCATTGAATCAGCATCTAGACACACGCCCTGCATCTAGACGATAGGGTTGGACGAGGGAGCGATGCTGGTCAACACACGCCCAAGGGCTCTTTTGAAGGGATTGACTTCAGGATTCATCAAAATCGTGATCACATCCCCTTCCATTAGGTTGACTGACTACCCCCAAGTCCCAACGTAAAGCATCATAATGCCCGTTTCTTGATAAGAACCCGCCCACGTTAGTGGAAAGAAAGGAATGCCGAGGGCACTTTACAAGGTGCTCGTCCAATGCCGCGGCCACGCCATTGGATGATATACTTCCGAATATCTTTTCTAAGGAAATTACCAAAAAAATTTCTGGATCGGCGATGATCCCTCTCCTTTAACGTGAAGACTGCGAAAATAAGTTTGAAAGGAGGAGGAGGGGCTCGTGGGCCCTCTCTATCTCTCCGGGTAAATCGAGACATGAAGGGAAAAAGGAAGAATATTATGATGGAACCTGTTGACCAGGAAAGATCCCAGTTTTCATCCGTGAAACGAATTTATCCACACAAATTGTCTCGTCGAAAGGTCTCGACTTTAGACTTTTGCCTCAAGGACCATCTAGACGAATGTCATGTCGACCAACGTGGTGAAAATTCCAAACAAGAACAATGTCCTTTTCTTTCAGGGGGAGAGAGGGGGGCCGAGAAATCTCAATTTGGTTTCATGAAGCCCTAGCTCGAACAACGTCGTTTTTTTTTATAAAACCGAGGGGCACGGTCTCCTTTAAGTTAACCAAAGTCTCAACTATATTGATGACGCGGTAGTCGCCGTTGGTCACGTCACCATTCATTTAACAAATCGGATGCCATGTAAGCGAAGTTTTAATGGTGGCAATATAGACGGCCTTCGAAACACGAGACTTGAACACTAATCGAGTAATGTCAAGTATACTAAAATTAGATTACGACGTCCGTATACTCATTAATACGGCAGACTACAAGCGAAAATCTCATCAAGCGTGTTATATTCAATACCCCAAAGCCGTCTGCCAAAATCATCAGGGGTATAAACTTTGTAAATGAGTCTCAGAAAATCTAGAATTTTTTCGTACAAGGTGCGTTCGTTTCGCGGAAAATGAGTGATTTGAAAAACATTTTCCAAAAAATGATTGTTTATATCGTTTAGAAAAATTAGTTAACTTAAAATATTTTCATTATCGATGACAATCTATGTCTAATTATTTTCGTGGGCGATGAAAAAATCTTCCATTAGTTTATTTTTCCAAACAATATAAGCAATTATTTTTCGAAAAATAATTTCAAATCACTTATTTTTCGCGAAACGAATGGACCCTAGGAATCTGAAATCATGCGCATGGTCGGATGATCGATCGACTTATCCGGTTCGAGCTTCGCTCGAATCATTGGGCCAAGCCCGAGAGGAAAGGCCCGTTGAGTGGACCCAAAAGGATTGAGCCCAGCCCATCAGATGAGCCCATTAAGCCAAGCCGTCTGGATGAGACTGGACCGCCCATAGAAACAGGTCCAATTTCTGGTTCTGGTAAAAACAATTTGATCCCCGATCTCAAATTTTTGGAACCGGTACTGTACGGGTAGGTTCCGGATTGTGGGTGTTAAACCTACCCATCCAACAACCCACTCAAGAATCGATTAGAACCTGTTCTTTAAAGTTAGAAGAAGATGATTTATCATTCTTAAATGAGCTTAACTTCCTTATTGCTTGATATTTCTTATTGTTTTGTATCGATATTTTACTTTGAGCCATTTTGTTGCTCATACTATTTTGCCATAATTGCTATTTGTCTTAATTTTTTTTAAATGAAGCAAAAAAAAAAAAGAAGAGAGAAATTGATTCCCAAGTAGACATTAGAATCGGACCAAACAAAAGGGCAGGTTCTAAAATTAGTTCCAAGACAAGCATGGTAAGTTTTTTTTTGGGTAAGGAAGACGAGCATGGTAAGTTCAAGGTTTCTAAAATTGAAAATCAATTCTAACAAGATATGTTTCAGTTTGAATCCCTAGTTTTAACCCTTTGGATACCACTAGGATACGAGCCGTGAGTCATTAGATGAAGCTCGGACAATGACATGTCGAACCATCGGTCTAAGCATCGAGCAAGTCGGTCCCTTCCATTTCTGTGGGTTTTAGCAATGCCGGACAACCGAGACCGCAACAAGTCTCTCCCTGAAGCAAAAGGCTCCACATCGTCCCTTTCTTTCATGGAGGAGCGTCTTTTGGCATGGTCTGGCAGGACCAAAAGGGTTTTTAGAATGCTACAACACTTCCTGATACTACTCTCCAGCCTCCAGTAGTTCATCAGCTCAATGCGATATGCTTTTGGCCTAGAAGAATGAAGTAGACCGCGAACAAAATTTTTTCCGTTTTCCTCTGTTGAACAGACGGGATGGGGTCCAGTATACGTTAGTGCATCAATGCCCTTTGCTCCAACGCAGCTGATTTCTTCTTTTCTTTCCCGCCTTCTTTTTCTTGATGTGCATATTTTCCCTTCTTTTGAACACCGCCAAAACTTCAATGCTGAAATCACATTCTCATCATTCAGACAGCTTACACATAAAACGTACACATAAAACAAACACAACGGCTGGACAAGACTTCATTACACTGCATGTGTTAAGGATTCCAAAGGCAGGAAGCTTTATCCCTGACCATAATTTGCAAGATTATGCTATTCTTGGGAGACCTAAGAGACAGGAAAATGGTTGGATAACACCTCTAATTTAAATTTTTCCTCCATTTCTTTCTCATAAACATATTAAGATTTTCACAAATTTCTCTGCCGAATTTTCATTTCTCAACTCTTCACCCTTAGCCAAACAGAGCCTTAAAGTTTCTAAAGACAATACATCACACAGCTGGTTCTAATACAAACACATGAAAATGTAAATTTTAAAACCTTCTCAAGTGAATCCTGATAATCTGGGAGGACTATTTGGCTAAGGCAGAACATTCGGTGTACGTTTGTGGTTTAGACCAGCTGAAAATACTATCGCATACAACTTATGTTTGATGTTAACATTTCACTTTTTTAACTAGAAAATTGCATAATTTTCAGAGAAGTGTCAATCCAAAACAAACTAAGACGAAACGTTTCTCCAGATCTTTGAGGAACAAGACCTACATAATTAGTATCTCAATTGAAATTTTAAGATCATTGAGACTCGCTCAGATATTTCAGGTTCAAATCTGAGTAATTCCCAACTACTTGCGAACGATGTAAGATCACAATTCAGAATCTCAGCAACTTTCATCTGATTAAAGTAGACAGACGTTAATTCAACATTAGCTTCTTAATCATGCAAAGCTACAGGATTGCAATATGAGGGGAATAATACCTTTGTGTGCCAGGGAAGAAGTTAAATCCATGGGCTTTTTCCAAATGCCATGCCTTGCTAGACAGCAATGACTTACAGTCCTGTAATTTATTCACTCAACATTAGCTCCTCAAGATATTTAGTATTCAGCTTATAAGAAAGCAAACTAAGCACCAAAGCTGCACTTTAGTCTCTTAACTGCAATTTACCTCCTTAAAGCTTTCCCAGCCACAGCTTATGTAGATAAGAGTATGAGGCGCTGAGTGACGGCTCTCTTCACTTAAATCATTTCCAAATCGAACAAAAGCTTCCCTAGCACGAAGTACCCACGGTCTCTTTTCTTCTTTTGTCTTGGAACTAATACCAGAGACAGTATAGAAAAATTAATTAATGCTGGAAGGTTGTAGAATGTTATTTTCGTGAAGATATCGCTGTCATGCCTTGATGCAAAGAAAAGCTAAAGATAAGCCCCTACCTTTCAGGTGATGATCTAGTTTTCAGTTCCCGTGATGGAAGGGTCTGCAGGGCACCCACCAGAGACGCTTCTAGTCCTTTTCTAGGAGGATCAACAACAGTCACATCTGATCCCACAAGCCAGGAAGTAGGCTCCTGATTTGATTCCAACAAAAACGTAAGAACTTACTACTCTATTACAATCTTAACTCTGAAGAAGATTAACTAAATATATCTCCCAGTGAATAGTAATTTTCCATGCAAAATGGATATAAAAGTCATCAAGTTGACAAGATTGATTAACTATGACATCAATGAGATTCTTTTCGGGGACTTACAACTGAAGTGTCAGCTTGATACCAACTGATGCTGCTATCCACATATGTTGGCAGGCGTTCAACTATCTTTTCAAAAGACAACTTGGATTCTTTGTTAATTTCTACACATTTTACAGACCTGGAAGAGATGAATTACAAATTTGTAAGCCTTTCCTTAATGAGAACGAACAATCTGGAGCATTTAATGGAAAGAGGAACCGGCGAGCAAAAGGAAAGAGAACTCTGGATTCTTGCCTGCATTTTCTTGTAGCAGCCAAGGATAAGCCAATGACGCCAGATCCTGCATATAAGTCAGTAACTGATGCACCATAAGGAACATACTTCTGTAACTTTCGGAGCAAAGAATCAAAAGCCTGAAGATGACCAAACAAATAGCATCGTTACAAAGTATCAGTTACATGAATTTCAATTAAAAAGGGATAGACTCTCTATTCTCGATGAACGATCAATTATCATTCATATGCAACTGGGTTTGCATGCATTATCAAGCGGGGCCAAAAACCTGAGCAAATCAACATGTGTCACTCAAAAATTTTCTTGGCTATCAAAGAAGATGGTTGAGCGAGATACAATGGAAATCCAAAATTGGATTCCTATCATCAAGGACATGCCACAGTCAATGCTAAACTAACATAACATTCGATGCTATCCGGCAAAACAAGTAACTTGATGCCATCTAGCAGAAGCACAAGAACACATAAGTCACTGATTACTAGCATAACTACAAACTTAACAAGATATCCCCAATAACTAAACACTACCTGCACGTAGCGCAGATCACCTGTCCCTTGATCCTCGTCATGCGATTCTATACCTAACTCTATGATTCCTGTTAACAATTTCTCCTGCGGAATAAAGAAAGTACGTTGTGTTCGAGAAAGCACACCAAATCTTTAGACATCATCCACAAAATATACCTTGCTTCAACAGTTCCATGGCAGCATTAATATTTGGATGATGAGCTGCAAGAACAAGCAAAATGAGGCATTAACCGCACCACCATTGCCACTAGTTTCATCCTTGAGGCCAATTTTGCTCTAACCAGTTCAGAACTTCATTTTTCACGATCCAACTTGCGAAAATTGTACCTTTGCAATCAGGGATGTCCACCACACTATGCGTGCCCTCCTGATAGACTCCAATGAGAGGATCCACCGACGAGCCGCGAACCACGAACTTTGCACGGCATCTCCACCCCCACTGCATCACGCACACACACAGCGAGAAATCGATCAAAACTAAGGCTGCACAAGCTGAAAACCACACCAACATGTCGACTCGAATTGAGAGAAAAAGGCGAGCTTACGAGCTTGCAACTATCGAAAGTGAAATCCGAGACGCCTAGGCTCTTGAAGAAATCGACGGCATCGTCAACGACGCTCGGACGGTGGAGGTTCAGCTCGTGAGTACAACCTGAGCACCTGCATATTCAAGCGAACCACAATACACAAGAAACGCACTCGCAACTGACAAGAACACGCCAGAGTTCACACACTCGCACTCGTGAAAATCCGGCGAAATGCACGGATTCATCGACGCGAACGCGACGAAACGAAGTGAGTTACGACATTTGACAAAGAAGTAGAGAAAGAGATGACGAGCTAAGGAAAGCGTTGGCGCGCGTACGATTCGAAGTGAGGGCATTGGAGCGCGCAGGTCAGCGAGGGCGGGCTCGGACGGAGAGACGCCAGAGCGAGCGGCAGCGGGGAGGGAGGAGCTGCGGCAGCGGCGGGGGAGAGGTGGCGGGAGGTGATGGGGTGGAGGGAGCGAGAGGAGAGGAGGCACGGCAACATCGGTGGAGCTGGGCGAGCGCGGCGGAGCTTCGCCGCAATTTGATTTTGGCCGGAGTGGACAAAATGGGAGATGACGACGAAGTTAAACGAAGAATATCTTCGCCCAACGACCGGGTCGGGTAACCGCCCGGTGCTTCCGGGTTAGATTCGGAGTTGGGTCTCGGGCGGAGGGTCCGGAAGCTAATCGGGTTCAATGGATTCGGACCCGCCCGATTCCGAAGCACAAAAGTCCATAGAATACAGTCAAAGCTCATTTTATTGACAATATCGGAAACATGTACGGTATGTTCCCTATGCATGCTTGTAAATAGCTGCTACATTCACGAGATGTCTAACGATGCTATGGAAGACAGATCTATGCAAAGCATCGAATCGAATCCTAATATGCTTGCAGACTAGTCCGTCCGACGTGCGACGAGTGCAGTCAGCTTGTTCTTCATTCTGTCGATGTAACCGTAGTAAGCCTCTCTCCAGGACTTCTTTACGATCAGAGTGCCACAGACACCCCAGAACCCAACTAAGAAACCAAGCCCTATGCTCAGGATGAGCCAGAGGTATTCAAGATGATCGGCTCTCTCCTCACTCTCGCTGTTCCCGCCGCTATCGTCAGGAGATTGCAGCTGTTTCTCATCTCTTGAGCATAACTCTGGCAATGGAATCCCACAGAGACCGACGTTGCCCTCGTAAATAGATGGGTCGTTGAGGGTCAGGAACTGGTTAGCAGTCGGGATTTTCCCTGACAAGTCGTTGTACGACAAGTTCAAGTGATTCAACTTTGTTAAAGAGGTCATGCTCGGAGGAAGCGGCCCCGAGAGATTGTTGCTCGATAAGTCGAGAGTCTCTAGCCTTTCCAAGTTGCCAATGTCAATTGGTATTCTTCCAATGAGATGGTTCATGGACAAATTCAAGGTCCACAACCTCACGAGGCTCGTTAGCGCTTCAGGAATCTCCCCCGATAAGCAATTGTCCGAGAGATCCAAACTGTTCACGAGGTAAAGAATGCTTTGATCATATTGAACAAACCGTCCTTTGGCCACCACGGTCAAGCGTCCCTGGTAACTCACCGTGTCAACATCCGTGAGTTCCACTTTCAAGCCGATTAAGTTTCCGATACACGGCGGGATCGATCCTGACAACTTGTTGTGCGAGAGGTCTACTATGTGGAGATTCGAAAGATGGCATATCTGAGGAGGAATTTCCCCAGTAAACAAATTGGTCCGCAGGCGCAAAATCAGCAGCAAAGGAATGCTCTCTGCAATCCATGTCGGAATGTTTCCCATGAACTTGTTCTCGCCTAGATCAAGAGTGTACAAAGATTTGCAGTTCTGCAAGGAGGATGGAAGATTGCCAGAGAGATTGTTGTTACTGAGTATGAAGAACCTGAGAGAGGAAAGAAAGCCGACCTCGCTCGGTATTGGACCCGAAAGGCCATTGTTCGACATGTCAAGAATATACAGCGAGGACAAGTTGCTCCAGAACCGCGGTATTTCTCCGGATAGGTAGTTGTTGGAGATGACTAAGGATGTCAAAGTGGCCATATTCCCAATGGACAAGGGAATGATACCATTTAGTTCATTCCGAGATATGTCTAAATCTGTCAGGTAAGGCATGAGTTCGCCGATGTTGGGAGGAATGGGACCGGAGAAGCGATTATCGTTGAGATACAGTATCGTCATGTTGGAAGACCACATAGGAAGAGGACCATCGTAGAGGTTCGAACTCAAGTCGACACTGGACCGACCGTCTACAAACATCAGCGAGGTGGGTGGCTCGCCGGTGAGTCGATTATACCCGACGTCTAGTTCGTCTAATTGCAGATTCAGCTGCAAGAACCAATCGGGTATGGTTCCCGAAATTTTAGCATTGTTCAACACCACGGTCTTGAGCTCGTTTTGTTTCCTGAGCCAAGTAGGAAACTCGGGACCCAATTGGCAAGACCTGATTTTCAGGTACCTGAGCTTGAAGGGAGGAATCCAACCGGGGGTTATGTTGAATGCCAAGGAAATGTTTGGAGACAGATTATACAAGTCAAGATCCGTGAGGCTCGAGAGGTTTGCTAGATGGCGCTCCGTCACGACTCCTTCCCACAAGTTCTCAGAGAGATCCACCGCAACCAGTGTCGACAGTTGCCCGAAACTTTCTGGAATCCCACTCATCTTGTTGTTGGCCACGTAAAACTCTTCCAAAGACGACATGTTTCCAATCGTCCGTGGAATCGAACCTTGAAATGAATTGCGCAAAAATTGGAGGTACCTTAACTTCTTCAGGTTTCCTAGAGAATCTGGCAAATTACCATACAACCCATTGTTCCCTAAGTCCAGATTCTCCAACTTGCTGTTGTTGCATTGAGCTAATCCATTGATAAAATCATTTATCTCACCGGTGATTCTGTTGGCTGAAAGCTTTAGGACACTCATATCACATAAGCTCCCCAATGATTTCGGAAGCCGACCTTCGAGGTACGAATTCTGGGACATGTCGAGTTCTTGGAGGGATGCTAAATTCGCAAATTTATCTGGAAGCTCGCCCCCGAGACTATTTGAGTTTAGATCAAGATGAATGAGGCGAGTGAGATTGAATAGCCATCGGGGTGACGTAGAGTTGAAGTTATTGCGCGAGAGATCAAGGACCTCCAGCGATGTGACATTGATGAATGGAAGAGAAAGAGGAAGCTTTGACATGAAACAGTTGGGCAAGCGCAACTCTGTGAGAGAAGGTAGTGAATTAATAGCTCGAAGCCAATGATCCTCGGCATTACTGAGATCGATGGCTCCGAGATTAAGGTATCTTAGAGAAGAAAGGCCACGAAGCCAGAGAAGATCGTTTCGGCTTGATTCGGCAAAGCAATTGCTGAGGTCCAGATACTGCAGTCGCGAAAGATTCCCAAGACTCGGAGGGATCATTCCACTGAAAGACGCACCTGATAGATTGAGGTAGCTTAGCTGCTTTAGTGAACCAATGAATCCCGGGAGTTTGGTGCCTCTAAAATCGTTCATGCTTAAATCCAAGTAGTTCAACTCTTTTATATCGAGCATAGAAGGACTGATCTCACCCCCTAGTGCTTGCCCTGTCTTGGGAGTGCCGCCGCTTAGATTATTATCTACATACAGGTTGCGGAGGTTTATCTCAATGACCCGCCCAGTCTGGTTGCTGCATACAATTCCTCTCCATTTGCAGCAATCTTTTCCGATCCACGAAGCGAGCCGGCCCGAAGGATCCGTGAAGCCACCCTTCAACTTGACAAGCGCTTCTCTTTCGCTTTTGAGGCAACCTGAATTGATTCCAGCAGTGGATAGTGCAAATTTGACAGTTTCAGGAAACGTAAGTCCTGATAGAACCAGGAAAGGAAGGAGACCAATGCACCAGATCCGATGAGCCATTCTTGCAGCCAAAACAAGAATAGACAGGATGGTACTTGAAAGTTCATATTAGCTTTGTTTAGGCATATATACTGGATCTGTGTGCTCCTATAATGCAAAATGAGGTTGCGTCAGTTATTGTCTGACTCGACTTTGCTTTGAGTTGATGTCATCAATATAATATAACATCAAACTAGTCAAGTGTCATCGACCATGTCAAAAATACTTTTCTTGTTTTTCCCTTGTCTGGGACACATTCTAGACATATATAGTTTTCTATCGCAGATGTGCGCACTTTTACATATCTCCTGGGTACGCTTGCTTATTCGCGTTGTTTCTTGGTCTACATAATAGAAGTGAGAAGAAGAACAACTAAACGCAATTTTAATTCGTCGATAGCGTTGAACAAGGGAAGTGATGGAGGTTAACACACGTCAGGCTCTTTGAAGGGGATCGACCTTGGGTATACCAGTCTTATTCTAAACCATTCACAATGACAATTTCTTCTGCCTGCTAGGCGAGTATTTTGTTGTATAGTGAAGTGGTGAGAGCTCAATCAAAGAACTCTTCTTCAGGACAAAGTGAAGGAGACGTTCCTCGAAATCGCTAGGAAGAAAAGACTTCTCGAGACGACGTATCCAAGCACACTCTTCCAGAACCTGAGTGGCTTCTTGACCAGAAGGACTTTTACAAGGTCCCCGTCAAAATGCTACGGTTGCACTACGCTATCTAATTTCTAGATGTTGTACTTCCCAACATTTATTACCAAACAAACATAGAAAATTACAATATCAAGGTTTTGATCTTCCTTTTTAAACAAAAGAGCACATACTTATAACACTTGATAGCAGAACTACACGCTACAGTACTGCAGATAGCTGCCGTATTGTCAGAGACCTATTGCATACAATAAATCTTGAAAGGGTGACGGACTAAACGAGTCGCCAGCTACAATTGACATAAATTGAAATGTAGATAGAGCGCATGGGATCGCTCTATAAATGACCTTAATGCTGGAGGTTTCGGACAATTGCGCGAAGTGCATGTTACATTATCTGTTTATGAATATAGTTTAAGTACGAATGCATAGTGTTAAATTATGTGGCGAGTTTGAGCTATACACGATATTCGATCCGTACGCTCAACATGTATTAGTACTCTGAAGAGAAGAAGCACATCCGTAGAGCATTTAACGAGAATAGCGCCAATCGTGGAGCATTAAATGAAGATGGACAAATCTTCTGCACATGTGTTTTACGTGCATGCTTTCACATAAATTTTCTTCTTCCTCATAAATTCATGCACATGAATTGTGAATGCATGGCCGTAGAAAAAGTATGTGAGCATCAAAGTCGTCTTCTTTTTCTATGGTTATCTTTTGTGGGCTTTCTTTGTCCTTCTGTTAATAAATGAAGAAAGAGCGAAGATAGAAGCTATGCTCATTTTTCTTATGGCGGTGCATGATGGTCATACCCACATGCCATCATTAATTGCACGGAGACGCATGGCTTCTGAAGATGGGCGCCATTTTTTTCTTGTTCCTCCATCCTTTCTCCTATAAAAGGAGGATCGTAGAGGACGGAGATAAGCCGAAAAGAAGAGAGAGCTCAAGAGAGGCAGAAGCATCGAGAGATTTGTGCGGATTCGAGTCAATTGAGTTGAGTTATTAAACACTGTGGGTATTGGGTATATATACTAGGGCTGGAAAACACTCATGTATGTGAGTAACTGTAAACTCTGTAATTCTCCGATTCATTAGTAGATTATTTGCTGCCTCTCCCCGTGAACGTAGATTCCGACATTCGGACGGAACTACGTAAATTGCTCATGTCCTTTTATTGTTCCTCGTTTATTTCTCTGTCGAAATTTCTATAGCTCCCGACTTAATTGCAAAGTTACGATCCGCTTCCACCATGTCGCCGATGTATAACACATAGAAACCCTCCAATCTTAAGTCACGAAAATTCCTGCATTAAGGTTCACGGTGTTGAGATTTTTACTCACTTGGTCTAGTAGCCCTTCGACAATTTAGACAGGAACGAAGTGCAGTCCATTTCCACTGCATCGCCGATGAAGACCTCCGAATACCTCGAGTTGTGGGGACTTGATCGCATAGGAAGTTCTTCAATAGTTTGCATACTTTGGACAATCAGATATTATAGCCGATGTCAATTATGCTTCTTTTTGGTACACCAGCATGACATGTTACATTAAGCCTGAAAGTTCAAGAGAAATATACCAAACAGATCAAGAAATGTGTTTCTTATTGAAAAATAACATCTTACGGGCTTTGCTATTGGAGATATGCGAGGATCAATATAGGACTTTATTTGATCGACTGACTCAATTTAGGATTAAATTTTAATTCATGTATCCGTCTTTATTATTTCCTTAATTGCTCATCCATTGTATTATAAATTGGGACTCATACATGTAAAGAAAACCAAGTTGAATCGATACAATATACAATATTCTCTCAACTTCCTCTTCTTCTCCACTTCGTGTCATGGTATCGGAGGTTATATTCCTGGTCCAGCTTTCCCAGTTTCTATCGTTTCCCGAGGGGTTGACGAATCAGGCCCATGGCGAACACACCCAGTCCAAGGAGAGCTCACTAGCCACTGTCGAGGCAAGCCCACCTCTTGGGCCGGGATGGTTCCACCGGGTCAACCACCCGAATCGAGCACGTTGTGTCCTAGAACGGATCCCTATCCGGTTTTCCAACCAAGATTCGTGCCTTACTAGATCTCCATTGCAGGAGGTTGCCCGGAGCCCAGTGACCCATTATATACCTCCACAGTCGATGGGCCGGAGCTACACCTCATCACCCAACAACTCTTTGGTGCCGAGAACTACTCAATATGTTCTCGCGAGTTCCGGTGAGCCTTGGTGACAAAGGACAAGGACGTTTCCTTGATGGAATCGTCCCGATTATGTCCGACGACCATCTGGCGCGACATTGAAAGAAATGCAATCAACTCGTCCGAACATGGATCGGAAATTGCATTGTCCCAGAGGTCGCGGCTGAGCTCCCTCCAACGGAGGACTCGAAGACAATGTGGGAGAATATAAGAAAATGTACGAGAAACTTGATCGGGCGAAAATTTTTAGCCTTACCCGGGCGTTATCAGAATTAAAATGAGGGAGCATGTCGATTACAGCTTGTTTCAACAAGCTTTCGTCCCTCTGGAATGAATTAGAGGCGGCCGAAGAGAAGCTCGAGGGACCCGATTCGACGCTACAACAATACAAAAACGTCGAGGAACGAGAGAAGGCGACTCGCTTTCTTTTGATTCTAAATGATTCCTACTTACCTTTCCGATCTCAGATTTTGGCCATGGAACCCATGCCGTCGCTTGGCCGGATTTACCAACTCCCTGTCCAGCAGGAAAGTCAGCGACTCGCTTCATCAGATGGCATCAAAGTTGGGGGAGAGCATTCTTCTCGCGGCTCAGTCGAGGCACCAGCAGCGAGGACCGGCCAGGAAGATGAGCACCGACGGATGGAGAGGGCACGCCACGGCGCTAGGGTTTTTGGAGGGAAGGGGAGAAAGAAATTTCATGAAGAATGGGACAAACGGTCGCGATTTGAAGACCAGATCAGACGGTTCTCACATCACTTATCCAGCGGTTGGACCGGTAGTATGATGCCACATCGGCCCAGGCGATAAAATTAGGTATCGAATGATAACCAATTCACGTTCGGAATGAGTTCCGAACCGAGAAATAGATTTTCTATTTCGGTTCCTGGATGAGTTTCGAAAAAAACCCGTTTGATAACGACCAAAATTTTTATTTCTAGAACGAAACCCGTTTGATAACGATTACAAAATTTCTATTTCGAAATAAAAACCCGTTTGATAAACAAGAGAAAATTCTATTTCCAGGAACAAAAATCCATTGTTTTAGAAATGGAATAAAAATAATAAAAAATCCAAAAAATTCATAAAATACATGTAGCCACCCACTTTGAGTGAAATTTAAATTCTTTAAGGTGCCCAATAAAATTTACCTTACTCTTTCTCATTCAGTTTGGGTCACAATGTTTCTTTTCCACACCCTCAATGCCAAATATGTTCTCTGGCAAAATAGTTATGTGTGCCTTTTTCCGTAAGTAAATCTCGTGCTATAGATATTTTCTCAGTGATTCATGCCGACATTGGGGGCCCTTTTATCACACTCTATATCGTGATGGATCCCGATTTTTCCTTACGATTGTGGAAGATCATTCTCATGCCACATGGGTTTTCCTTAAGGAATCAAAGAGTCAAGTTTTTTCTCGCTCAAACAAAATTTTCACCTTATTAAAAAACCAGTTTGGAAAATCTGTTCAACACATTCAAACGAATAATGGGAAAGAATTCTTTGGTCATGAATATAAACGTATTTTTGTCTCTTCCCATAGAATTCTGCATGAAAGTTCATGCACCTATACACCTTAACAAAATGGGATTGTTAAGCGTAAACACGATTGCACGTCCTCTTAAATTCCAAGCATCCATTCTTTAAACTTTTTAAGGAGATTGTGTGATCACGACAGCTTAACTGATAAATCGCACGCCAACTCGGGTTCTCAGTGGACGAACCCCCTTTGAAGTACTTTTTGGAAAA